TAAAAACAAACAATTTTAAAAGAACAAACTTTAATTTAAAAGGGCAATTCCCTTATTTGTTTAAAAACATTTTTCTTGAGGGTTGGAAAAATTACCTATTGGGTACAATGTTCACTATAGTAAAGATGGGTATACTGAAAGCCGACACTTCACCACTGCCCAATACATTGGTGTGATGAAACTGCACTTGTACCCTCTAATTCTGTAAAAACAATTTTTCCTGATATGATGCTCATTTACTCTTCCTTTTTTTTTTTTTTGAGACAGAGTCTTGCTTTGTCACCAGGCACCAGGCTGGAGTGCAGTGGCGCAATCTCGGTTCATTGCAACATCCGCCTCCCGGGTCCAAGCAATTCTCCTACCTCAGCCTCCTGGTAGCTGGGACTACAGACGCCTGCCACCACGCTCAGCTAATTTTTATATTTTAGTAGAGACAAGGTTTCACTATGTTGGCCAGGACGGTCTTGATCTCTTGACCTTGTGATCTGCCCACCTAGGCCTCCCAAAGTGCTGGGATTACAGGCATGAGCCACCACACCCGGCCTCATTTACTCTTCCACATGAACCTTAGAAACAAGCTAAATTTGAATAGATTGGGGGAGAGATTTGTGACTAGTCTTCTAAGGTTGGCTTTCTCATTTAGGAACAGTTATGTTCTTCCAACTGAACTTTCTTTTATAACCTTCTCTTTATATCTTTTATAGTTTTATTCTGTTTTTTGCATCTTTCTGTTTTTTAACAACTTTACTGAGATATCAGACTTTAAACCAAACTTCTATCTGATTATTCCTGATATATAGTAAAGCTATTATTGCATCTTCAGTATGTAAGGATCTACTTGTTTTACTCTCTTTAAAAGTCGAGTAGATTTTTCTGTGATACTCTTGAAAAATATTCTAGAAAGACTATTATAGGTATAATAATTGAGTTTTATTATTTTCATACCAGTCGTATATCATACTATGTTTCAAATAGGACTGTAGAACAATTATGAAATCTGTATACCTGCAAGAAGTTAGTGCATATAGTAGAAAAATAATTAAATATCAGCATAGTATTCATTGACATTAGGAGTAGATGCTATATTTTTGTACAAACAGAACAAGAATGTGTATGCCTTCAGCGTTCTTCTGGTTTTTCGAAGTAGGGTAATTAAAAACTGTTTAAATACTTGGTTTTTCTGTTTTCTATAAGCATATGACATGACTAGAAGCCAAATTTTTCTGCTATAACAAAAACCTGTGGGGCTTTGAACCTCTTTGTCCATGCCCTGAGAATTCAAGAATACTCTTAGCTACAGTTGCCTTTTGGAAATTTAACAGTAACTTCATCACAACACTCTCTTTTCTCCACCAAGATGGGTAGCTCACTGCAACCTCCACCTCCCAGGTTCAAGTGAGTCTCCTTCCTCAGCCTCCCAAGTAGCTGGGATTAGAGGCGTGCACCACAACTCATGGCTAATTTTTGTATTTTTATTAGAAACAGCGTTTCGCCATCTTGGCAAGACTGGTCTTGAACTCCTGACCTTAGATGATTCACCTGCCTTGGCTTTCCAAAATGCTAGGATTACAGGTGTGAGTCACCATGCCTGGCCTTGGTAGCTCCTTTTTATTGTGTTTTACTTTGCTAGATGACTGATATTGTTGGGCTTATATTCATATGCTCATCATCTATTTCCATATTCTCTATCGTGAAGTGCCTGTTCAATTTTTTTTGGCCAATTTTCTATGGGGGAAATTCTCTATATGTGTTGTGTCATATATATTATGCCAAATATATGTAATGTAAATATATACGTATATAAAATGTATGTATATATGTCAAATATATGTAATATAAATATTTTCCTCCTGCCCTTTTTGCTTGTCTTTATTTATTTTTATTTTTATTTTTTTGAGACAGAGTTTCTGTCTGTCACTCAGTCTGGAGTGCAGTGGCACAATCTGGGCTCACTGCAACCTCTGCTTCCCGGGTTCAAGGGACCCTCCTGGCTCAGCCTCCCAAGTAGGTTGGACTGCAGGCAGGTGTCCACACCCAACTCATTTTTTGTATTTTTTGAAGAGATGAGGTCTTACTATATTGCCCAGGCTGGTCTCAAACTCCTGACCTCAAATGGTCCAACCACCTTCCAAAATGCTGGGATTACACGAATGAGCTACTGTTTCCAGCCTGCCTTTTTTTTGTGTGTGACAGGGTCTCACTCTGTTGCCCAGGCTGCAGTGCCTGATGATAGCCTTGAATTCTCCATCTCAAGTGATACTCCTGCCTCAACCTTCCAAGTAACTGGGACTACAGGCCTATGCTACTATGCCAGGTTTATTTTACTTTTTTGTGGAGACTGGGTCTCAGTATGTTGCCCAGGCTGGTCTCAAACTCCTGGCCTCAAGCAATCCTCTCACCTCTACCTTCTGAAATCCTGGCATTACAGGTGTGAGCTGAGGCACACAGACTTTTTTCTTTTCAATTAGCTGATTTGGTGAGACATTTTAAAATGCTTTTCCCACTCCAAGGTCATGAAGATGTTTTCTTCTAAAATTCTTCATTACTTTATTTTTTGTGTTTAGATATGTAGTATAATTCAAGTTGATCAGTGTGAGTTAGGGGTCAAGATTCATTTTTTTCCATAAAGTTTGGTATAATGGGTCAATGTATACACACATACACACGAACCTCTGATAGGATTTTGACTGGGATTACATTGAATCTAGAGATCAATTTTGGGAAAGTTGACATAATTATAATAATGTCTATTCCATGAATTTATATTCTTCTGCATTTAGTTAGGTCTTTATTTTAAGAATATTTTTTGGTTTTCAGAGGTCTTAATGGATTTAACTTTTTTTTTCTTTTTGAGACGGAGTCTCTCGCTCTGTTGCCCAGGCTGGAGTGCAATGGCGTGATCACAGCTCACTGCAACCTCCACCACCCAGATTCAGGCAATTCTCCTGCCTCAGCCTCCTGAGTAACTGGGATTACAGTCACACACCACCACACCCGGGTAATTTTTGTATTTTTAGTAGAGACGGGGTTTTGCCATGTTGGCCAGGCTGGTCTTGGACTCCTGACCTCATGTGATCCACCCACCTCACAAAGTACTGGGATTATAGGCATGAGCCACCACACCCGGCCAATACATTTAATATTTAAGCAGTTTATTGAACTCAGATTTGAATTTAAATACTCCTAACCATTGTGCTTAATTTTCTATGGTACACTGACGGAAATTTGGAATATCCAGAAAAAGCGCAAATATCATCAGTAAAAAGCATTTTAGTATTTCCCGTACAAAAACTTGATTAATATAAATTTGTTATTAATTTTGACAACTTAAATATTAACCGATATAATTTTGATATTATATATAAGTTTGCATTTGTGGTTATTTGCAAGCAGAATGTTATTATTATTTGGCTGTAAGAGGACATGTAAACAATAGAAAAAATTTTAATATAAACAATTGTGTTTAGGGGGAAGGTCCTAAAGCCAACTCTACTCAAGGGATGCCTTGGTAGCAATGATTGTTAACCATCCGGAGTGACAGAAGAAAGTGATATTGGGTAACTAACTTCTTAAGAAGTTTCATCTCAAGTTTTGTGATATTACAGGAACAGAAAATTATGCTATTGGTTGTTCCTTTCTGGTCACATGGATGGGCATTTTCATCATGTCCTGATTGTGTATTGATTAATGTAGTCAATCTCTGCACTTTTTAAATTTGTGCTACAGGGAGACAGTTTTAAATGGTTGGATGGTTTTTAGTGGTGACATTTGTATAGAAATTTTTTTTGGTAGTAAACACTCGGATCACTGAGCAAATTTTGAATAGTGCTGAAGCCTTTTTAGCATCCCAAAAACCGGATGCAGTATAAGATAATAAATAAATATTTAAAATTAATTTTTCTATTTTACATTCACCAAGTCAACTAGATCACATTAGTCTTATGAATAAAATGTGTATAATGCATCCGTCCAATAGCATGTACAGCTCACAGAAATCACAGAGGCATTGCTTTGTGTATATTAGCTCTTGATAAGTAAAATGAATCACCCAAAGCAGACTCCGTAACATTCTTCAGATGGCCAAAATTCAGTTGTCAAGTTTATTTTTAATGTTGAAAGTTCTTTTTTTTTTGAGACGGAGTTTCGCTCTTGTTACCCAGGCTGGAGTGCAATGGCGCGATCTCGGCTCACCACAACCTCCACCTCCTGGGTTCAGGCAATTCTCCTGCCTCAGCCTCCTGAGTAGCTGGGATTACAGGCACGCGCCACTGTGCCCAGCTAATTTTTTTGTATTTTTATTAGAGACGGTGTTTCACCATGTTGACCAGAATGGTCTTGATCTCTTGACCTTGTGATCCACCCGCCTCAACCTCCCAAAGTGCTGGGATTACAGGCTTGAGCCACCGCGCCCAGCCTGAGAGTTCTTGATTATGTCCATCTATCTACATCAGATGCTTGTTTCCATCATGTACATTTGTTCCGTTGTGACATTTATGGAATTTCAGAGCAGTTAGGTTTTCCACCAGGCCCTCTCTTGTCTGTTGTGCAAACTGTAACAGCAGTGAAATAAAACACAGACTGCCTTGTACTATTGCTACAAATAATAACCACATGTCACAGATTTTTGTTCTGCCTGTTGTTCGTTAGTCATATAGGATCAGGTACTCTTGTGATGAGTCTCGTGGAGGGAACTACTGAGGCACTGTAAGGTCCTGTAAGCTTTTATCCCTTGAGAAGTAGTAACTTTAAAAAATCCGAAATATGGCCGAGCATGGAGGCACATGTCTGTAATCCCAGACCTTTGGGAGGCCAAGGAGGGATGACTGCTTGAAGCTAGGAGTTTGAGACCAGCCTGGGTAACATAGTTGGACCCATGTATTCATCAAATTTTACTAAGTAAATAAACTAAACTATAATCATGCAGAATGTTAAAAGGAATATCCATTGCATTCAGATTTGGCATACTTGTTTTCCATAGATGAATGCATTCTTTTTTTCAGGTTTTGAGAAGAAGCAGTGATGAAGAAAAAGTTCTTTGTTTGGTCCGACAGCGTACAGGCCACCACTGTCCAACTGCTGTGATGGTGGTGCTCATAATGGTATGGGATGGAATCCCTCTTCCAATGGCCGACCGACTATACACAGAGCTCACTGAGAATCTAAAGTCATACAATGGGCATCCTACTGACCGAAGATGCACCCTCAATGAAAAGTAACTACATTTGTTTTATGCTGCTTTGCCATTGAGATCTCTATTACATAATGATAAAATAGTTAATTAGCTACCAACTATGTATATTATATGGGATTAACAGGATTTGGTTAATGTGGAGTTAAAAAGAATGAACATTTCTTTTTTGTATTTTTCACCATGTTGACCAGGATGGTCTTGATTTCTTGACCTCATGATTTCATGATCCACCCACCTCAGCCTCCCAAAGTGCAGGGATTACAGGCGTTGCACCACTGCGCCCAGCCTCAGTGTAATTTTCACTTGAATTTCTCTTACAAATGAGAATTTTTTTTCATATCATTAAGAACGATTTGGCTTTGTTCTTGTTGTTGTTAACCACCTGTTTTTGTAGAAGATTTCTCTCTGATAGAACTATTAGCTCTTAGTCTGTTATATAATTTCTAAATTGTTTTCCCAGTTTGTTGTCTTTTTCCTTTCACTATGTTATCTACTGCAAAAGTTTTCTTTTTAATGCAATCAAACATATCCATCTTTTTCCTTGTTTGGGTCTGGATCTGGAGTGGTATTCAGGTCTGTTTTTATGTGACTATAAGCAAAGCAATGTATGATTAAACCAATATTTTTCTCATCAGCGTTGTATCGATATTGAGTGATATTCAGGAAACTGCTGTAGGCAGTTTCCCTTACAATCACAGTTTCCAAGAGCCTATTGACATCAAGTGAGTAATGACTATACTTGTTTAACATACATTTTTGAAATTTAAATCTGTCACACATTTAAAGTCTGCTAATTATTTTATTGTGTCAACATACAATGATAATATCTCTTGCGGGAAGTCAATGCTCTAAAGGTTATACATGTATTGTCTAATTTGTTCTTCCCAATAATTAACTAAAATAAGCAGTATTCTATTTCAGTTAATGTAGATCTAACACACCAATGAAAAGGAACCTCACAAGGTGGGGTATGGTGGCTCACACCTGTAATCCCAGCCCTTTGGGATGCTAAGAGTTCAAAAGCCAGATGGGGCAACATAGTAAGATTCCATCTCTACAAAAATATATTTTTTAAAAACTAGCTAGGGCTGGGCGCGGTGGCTCATGCCTATAATCCCAGCACTTTGGGAGGCAGAGGCGGATGGATCACGAGGTCAAGAGATCGAAACCATCCTTGTCAACAAGGTGAAACCCCGTCTCTACTAAAAATACAAAAATTAGCTGGGCATGGTGGTGCATGCCTGTAGTCCTAGCTACTCGGGAGGCTGAGGCAGGAGAATTGCTTGAACCCAGAAGGCAGAGGTAGCGGTGAACCGAGATCACGCCATTGCACTCCAGTCTGGGTAACAAGAGCGAAACTCCGTCTCAAAAAAAAAAAATAAATAAACTAGCTAGGAATGCCGGGCAGAGTGGATCACGCCTGTAATCCCAGCATTTTGGGAGGCCAAGGAGGGTGGATCACAAAGTCAGGAGTTCAAGACCAGCCTGGCCAATATGGTGAAATCCCATCTCTACCAAAAAAATACAAAAATTAGCCAGGTGTGGTTGTGTGCCCCTGTAGTCCCAACTACTTGGGAGGCTGAGGCAGGAGAATTGCTTTAACCCAGGAGGTGGAGGTTGCAGTAAGCCAAGTTTGTGCCACTGCACTCCAGCCTGGCCATCAGAGTGAGACTTCATCTCAAAAAAAAAATAAGGATATTATTCTTTTGTATATCCCCATATAATAATCAATATCAGAAAATTTAAATTTGATAAAATACTGTGATCTCATCTTAGCTCATATTCAAATATCATCCATTTCCCAATAATGTACTTTCTGGTATTTTTCCCACATCAATGATTCAGTGCATTTAGTTATTTTGTCCTTTTGCTCCCTTAATCCTTTTTTTTCCTCAGACTTTGTCTTTCATGACATTGAAATTTTTGAAGTGAGAAGATTAGTTCTGTCAACTGTTGGTCAATTTTGGTTTGTCCGTTTCTTCCTGACTCAAGTCAGGCTTTGAAATACAACCTATCCCCAAACATGGTTGAAACAAAAGAAAAAAAAAAAAAAAAACGAAATATAACTTGTACTATTACATTCAATGCCATTTGTCCCACTATTGATTGTGTTAACCATTTAAAATATTCTGAGGATGCTCTTTTAGATCTCACAGCTTACCAACCACATTTCCTCTGTGTTTCATTTTTTAAAATAATAGTATGTTGTAACTTAAACAACTATTTTCTCTCCTTCCATATCTTTTTCAATGATATGAATACATTTCTTATCTATTTGTTTGGCAACTTTAATTTTATTCTATTCAAATTTATTTTAACCATTTTTACTCTATTTGCATCTCATTTTTTTCCTTAATGAGTTACTATGATATTTTGTTCTTTCAAAAAACATCACCCATCTTGGTAAGGTCTTAGGGGAAGTTAACATACCTGAGCTACTGTTCTCTTTTTTTCCTTCACAATGTCTTTTTTTTTTTTTTTAACTTATAGATTTGTTATTTTTTGAAAAAATAGAGATGGGTCTTGCTATGTTGCCCAAGCTGGTCTTGAACTCTGGCTTCAAGTGTTCCTTCCACCTTCAGCTTGCCCAGGGGCTGGGATCACAAGAGTGAGTCACCACTCCTGGCCCTCCTTTATAATATCGTCAGTGAATTTCATTGTAGTCTTTGTTATAAGTAATGTTAAGTTACATATCAGGCATTTTCCAGGCTTTCACAGTGAAAACATAAAAAATAGATTTTATTTCTAAATTTTTATATTATTTTCACTTTTTAAAACTAATATTTGGTTTCTTTATTGTTTATTTTAATCATTACATAAGTACAATATATACTATTAAGTTGTAAGCATTATGCAATTTTATTTTACTTTTTACTTAATTTTTTAAATATTATTTTTGATCTTTCTTTCTGATGGAATTAAAAAGCATGGAATTCTTTTTTTTTTTTTGAGACAGATCTCACTCTGTCACCCAGGCTGGAGTGCAGTGGCATGATATCGGCTCACTGCAACTTCCACCTCCCAGGTTCAAGTGATTCTCTTGCCTTAGCCTCCTGAGTAGGTGGGACTACAGGCGCCTGCCACCACGCCCAGCTAATTTTTTTTATTTTTAGTAGAGACAGGGTTTCACCATGTTGGCCAGGATGGTCTCGATCTCCTGACCTCGTGATCCACTTGCCTCAGCCTCCCAAAGTGCTGGGATTACAGGCGTGAGCCATTGCACCCAGTTGCAATTCTTTTTTTAACTTTTATTTTAGGTTCAGGAGTACATTTGCAGGTTTATCATATGGGTAAACTCATGTCATAGGGGTTTGTTGTACAGCTTATTTCATCACCCAACTACTAATCTAGTATCCAGTGATTATTTTTTTCTGATCCTCTCTTTCTTCCAACCTCCATCCTCAGGTAGGCCCCAATGTCTGTTGCTCCCCTCTTTGGGTCCATGAATTCTCATCACTTAAATCCCACTTAAATTAAAAACATGCAGTATTTCGTTTTATTTCCTGTGTTAGTTTGCTAAGGATAATGGCCTTTAGCTTCATTCATGTTCCCACAAAAGACAGGATTGTGTTCTTTTTTATGGCTGCATACTATTCTGTGGTATATATGTACCACATTTTCTTTAATCTGTCATCAATGGGCATTTAGATTGATCACATGTCTTTGCTGTTGTGAGTAGCACTGCAGTGAACATTCACATGCATGTGTCTTTATGGCAGAATGATTTATATTCCTTGGCATATATACCCAGTAATGGGATTGGTAAAGCATACAATTTGGAGAGAACTACGAGAAGAATATATGCTTCTTTCATTATCTTTCTTACGATATAGTTTAGTTGAAGCCTTCAGAAATGCCCTAAAAGTGATATACTTAAAATTTAATTAAATGAAACTGGTTTTCTGCTCCATTTTTTCTATTATGCACTTTTTTAAGTTTTTTAAATTGAGAAACTTTTTTTTTTTTTTTTCCTGAGACAGAGTCTTGCTGTGTCACCCAGGCTAAAGTGCAGTGGCATGATCTTGGCTCACTGCAGCCTCCGACTCCCAGGTTCAAGCAGTTCTCTTGCCTCAGCCTCCCGAGTAGCTGAGATTACAGGCGCCTGCCACCACACCTGGCTATTTTTTTTATTTTCAGGGCAGAAGGGTTTTCTTTTTTTTTTTTTGAGATGGAGTTTTGCTCTTATTACCCAGGCTGGAGTGCAGTGGTGTGATCTTGGCTCACTGCAACCTCTGCCTCCTGGGTTCAAGCAATTCTGCCTCAGCCTCTCAAGTAGCTGGGACTACAGGTGTGTGCCACCATGCCCAGCTCATTTTTTTGTATTTTTAGTAGAGGCAGGGTTTCACCACGTTGACCAGGATGATCTCGATCTCTTGACCTCGTGATTCACCCACCTTTGCCTCCCAAAGTGCTGGGATTATAGGCATAAGCCACCGCGCCCGGCCATGGAGAGGGGTTTTCACCATGTTGGCCAGGCTTGTCTCCAACTCCTGACCTTGTGATCCACCAACTTTGTCCTCCCAAAGTGCTGGGATCATAGGTGTGAGCTGCCATGCCCAACCGAGAAACTGTTTTATATACAATATGTATTATTTTTCAATCCTCAGAAAATTATATCAGTCTCATTTTAGATATAAAGGAGCTAAATTCCAAAGAGGTATTATGTTCTAATTTTCATTTGTGATAGGGAACAAATCCGAGATTTATCTTTTTTTTTTTTTTTTTTCAAAACGGAGTTTTACCGTCTCCCAGGCGCAATCTTGGCTCACTTGAAGCCTCCAGGGTTCGAGTGATTGTCCTGCCTCAACCTACTATGTAGCTGGGATTACCGGTGTCCACCACTGTGCCTGACTAATTTTTGTATTTTTAGTAGAGATGGGTTTTCATCATGTTGGCCAAGCTGGTCTTGAATTCTTGACCTCAGGTGATCCACCTGCCTTGGCCTCCCAAACTGCTGAGATTACAGACATGAGCCACTGTGCCTGTCCCAAATCCAGGATTTAAAAACCATGTTCTGGCCGGGTGCAGTGTCTCACACCTGTAATCCCAACTCTTTGGGAGGCTGAGATGGGAAGATAACTTGAGGTCAGAAAAGACTGGATATTTTATCTCTGTATGGTTTATTCCCATTTATTTGGATTTGCAGTCATGACCAAATATTTTCCCTAGAAATTTGGTTATAATGAAGTATAGTTCACCCTGGTCCCCTAGTCAGATACCTTTTTTTGTTTTGTTTTATTTATTTTTAATTTAATTTTTTTTGTTTTTGTGAGACATCTTGAAAAAATAAAAGATAGCTTTTTATTGTTGACATTAAACTACTTTAAGTAATTAAAATAGATAAGTATTATAACTGGTTCTTTACCCATCTATACTTCTAAAGCTATGTGAAACTGAAATGTTCTGTCTCAGGTATTGTACTGCTTTACCAATTCACTTTCTTGTGATTATGATCTTGCAGTCGTACCTGTACCTGTCAAGGAATTGATCCAGAGACTTGTGGAGCTTCATTCTCTTTTGGCTGTTCATGGAGTATGTACTTTAATGGCTGTAAGTTTGGTAGAAGCCCAAGCCCCAGAAGATTCAGAATTGATCCAAGCTCTCCCTTACATGTAAGTGTCCTTTTTTATTCAAAATTTATTTTTGGATTACACACTGAATATGTAAGATCGTTCCTTTAACATTTTTGAAACACTATAAAAACTAAATACTGAAAAGTAGTAATCAAGTAGTAAAATTATATTTCTATTATATAAGTAAATAAATTAAGACTCTTAATAAATTAGGTAAAGACTTTAGCTATCACCCCAAATTCCAGTTGTCCCTGGCTTCCTCCTCTTGCTCTGCTACCCCACCCCAGAAAAATCATCATTAAAAGAACCTAGAATTTTATACCCAGCCAAAATAGGAAAAAGCCATTTACCAGCATTTCAAAGACTCAGAAAGTTTACTACCCACAGACCTACTATGAAAGAATTACTAAAGGACGTAATCCAGAAAGAAGACATGTGAAACCGGAACGAATCTGTCCGGGACACGAGGCCATGGTGAGCAAAGAAATTAGTCAAACATAGTGTTAAGTTAAATAAGTTCAATACTTATATATTTTAAATTAAAATAAGAACCTATAACTATAACTCCACACCTTTATCAGCTCTTGGGTGGGTAGGCAATGGGAGGGGGCGGGGCACCAATAGGAACTAATTATTCTAATGTTATCCTTTGTTTGTGTAGTGAGGATTCATATTGATCAACTATAAGATTGGTGTCTTTAATCTTAAAGCAGTGACCAAGAGTAAAAAACATTTCATATTAGAAACCAGTGTACACATACATAGACAAAAAAAAATAATTAAAACAAACCTATCTGAAAACAATACTTACCTCTCTTACATGTAATAGCACTAATATAAAAATATTTTAAAAGTTATTATCAATATAGTTATTTTAAGAATCTCTACGATTCATTTTTTATCAGATTTCTTTTTTTTTCTTTCTTACTTTTTTTTCTTTCTTTTTTTGAGATGGAGTTTTGCTCTTGTTGCCCAGGCTGAAGTGCACTGGCGTGACCTCAGCTCACTGCAACCTCTAACTCCCAGGTTCAAGCAGTTCTCCTGCCTCAGCCTCCCAAGTAGCTGAAATTACAGGCATGCGCCACCATGCCCAGCTGATTTTGTAGTTTTAGTAGAGATGAGGTTTCACTATGTTGGCCAGGCTGGTCTCAAACTCCTGATATCAGGTGATACACTTGCCTCGGCCTCCCAAATTGCTGGGATTACATGTATCAGCCACCTTGACTGGCCTTTATTTTTATTTTTTTAGTGCTAGTGTTGACCTACTAAACTGATTTCATTTCCCACTGAGTCATGACCCGCTGATTGGAAAACACTACTTGTGATGTCAGAAAAACATATTTGAGAAAGTGTATATTAAATTTTTTTAATGAATAGAAATAGAATTTATACCCAGCCAAAATAGGAAAAAGCCATTTTTAAGGGAAACGATTCTTCTATAGGCTGGCAAAGGGAGTTTTAAAAATCATTAGCATACAGGATAAGTAGAAAACACAAAATAGCCAGGCATGGAACCTCACACCTCTAATCCCAGCTACACAGGAAACTGAGGCAGGATTGCTTGAGCCTAGGAATTTGAGGTTACCATGTGGTGGCACAAACCTGTGTTCCCAGCTACTCAGTAAGCTGAGAACCAGCTTGAGCCAACCAGCTCAACTTTACTTCTAAATATAATGTGATCAAAGTGTCTGTCGCTTTTTGGCTCTCTGAGCAGCACTTTGGTGGTTGGCAAGAACAAACACCTGATGAAAGGTGGCACAGGGCCAGGCGTGGTGGCTCACGCCTATTATTCCAGCACTTTGGGAGGCCGAGGTGGGTGGATCACGAGGTCAAGAGATCGAGACCATCCTGGTCAACAAGGTGAAACCCCGTCTCTACTAAAAATACAAAAATTAGCTGGGCATGGTGGTGTGCACCTGTAGTCCCAGCTACTCGGGAGGCTGAGGCAGGAGAATTGCTTGAACCCAGAAGGCGGAGGTTGCAGCGAGCTGAGATCGTGCCATGCACTCCAGTCTGGGTAACAACAGCAAACCTCCGTCTCAAAAAAGAAAGGTGGCACAGAGGGAGCCAAGAAGAAAGTGCTTGATCCATTTTCTAAGAAAGATTGGTATAATGTGAAAGCACCTGCTATGTTTAATATAAGAAATACTGGAAAGACACTAGTCACCAGGACCCAAGGAACTAAAATTGCATCTGATGGCCTCAAGGGTCGTGTGTTTAATGTGAGTCTTGCTGATCTGCCAAATAATGAAATTGCATTTAGAAAATTCAAGCTGCTTACTGAAGATGTTCAGGGCAATAATTGCCTGATTCACTTCCATGGCATGGATCTTACCCATGGCAAAATGTGTTCCATGGTCAAAATATGTCAGACAATGATTGAAGCTCATGTCAACGTTAAGACTACCAATGCTTACTAGCTTCATCTGTTCTGTGTTGGTTTTACTAAAAAAAAAAAAAAAAAACAACAACAACAATCTATGCTTAGCACCAACAGTTTCGCCAAATCCAGAAGATGATGATGGAAATTATGACCCGAGAGGTGCAAACAAATGACTTGAAAGACGTGATCAGGCCAGGTGTGGTGGCTCACACGTGTAATCCCAGCACTTTGGGAGGTCGAGATGGGCGGATCACGAGGTCAAGAGATCAAGACCATCCTGTCCAACGTGGTGAAACCCCGTCTCTAAAAAAAAAAACAAAATAAAATAAAAAGAAAGAAGTGATCAATAAATTCATTCCAGACAGGATTGAAAAAGATACAGAAAAAAATCTTGCCAATCTATCCTCTCCCTGATGTTTTCATTAGAAAAGTTAAAATGCTGAAGAAGCCTAAGTTTGAATTGGGAAAACTCATCAGCTTCTTGGTGAAGGTAGTTCTGGAAAAGCCACTGGGGACAAAATAGGTGATAAAGTAGAACGAGCTGATGGATATGAACCATCAGTCCAAGAATATGTTGGTTAATAAATATAAGGGATCTTCAAAATGTTCATGGAAAATGCATATTATAAATAAACTATGCATGAATTTCATACTATTTTTGCACCCAAAAAAAAACCTCATACTAACTTGTAACATGTCTGAATGGAGACTAGTTTGAGGCACTAAGAAGGGTAAGACATCAATTTGTAAAGTGCCTCTATCAGAGAACATGAATTCTGCTAAAATTGAAGCAAGAACCAACATCAAATTTGTGGTGAAGGTCTGGTGGAAGAATGATGAAGTTGTTGATGCCTTATAAAAAGCTTATGGGCAATGCCCTGAAGAAATCTGCAGTTTACAAATGGATAACTCATTTTGGAAGGGACAGGACAATTTTGAAGACCAGAGTGGCAAACTGTCCACTGAGTCTTGCTCAGGTAATCTGCCTGCCTCGGCCTCTCAAAGTGCTGGGATTACAGGTGTGAGCCACCCTGACCAGCCAGCGTTTTAGAAGTTAAGATAAAATCGGCCCTTTCTGGCTGTTTAAGGAAAAATCTTTGGCCAAAGATCAATGACCATCCCTCCTCCTTGCCAGGTGCCAGATTAATTCCTAGGTTATTTTATAAAACTGTTTCGTTTGTTTTTTGAGATGGAGTTTCACTCTTGCCTAGGCTGGAGTGCAACGGCACGATCTCAGCTCATCACAACCTCCACCTCCCAGGTTGACGTGATTCTCCTGCCTCAGCCTCCCAAGTAGCTGGGATTACAGGCATGTGCCACCACACCCAGCTAATTTTGTATTTTTAGTAGAGATGTGGTCTCTCCATGTTGGTCAGGCTGCTGTTGAACTCCCTACCTCAGGTGATTCCCCTGCCTTGGCCTCCCAAAATGCTGGCATTACAGGCATAAGCCACCATGCCTAGCCCAGCCTACACAATTCTTACTGAAGCATTATAGTCTTGCAAACTCCCTATTTGATGGGTGCCAAAACTGTTGTGCCCAGCCTGGTTACAGAAAAGAATAGAAATTTTTAAAAAGTGGCATCAAGATCCTGAGGCATTCTTAGAGTTATTACAGGAGATGGTACATGGCTTTACCAGCACAATTCTGAAGACAAAGCACAGTGAAAGCAATGGCCACCAAGAGAGGTAGGAGGTCTAGTCAGAGCCCAAGTGGACCAGTAAAGAGCAAAGGACATGGCGGCAGTTTTTTGGGATGCTCAAGGCATTTTCCTTGCTCACTTTCTGGAGGGCCAAACAAAAATAACATTTGCTTATTATAAAAGTATTTTGAGAAGGTTGGAGAAAGCTTTAGCAGAAAATTGCCCAGGAAGCCTTCACCAGAGAGTCCTTCTCCACCACAAGAATGCTCCTGCTTATTCCTCTCATCAAATGTGGGCAAATTTGCAAAGAGTATCAATGGAAAATCATTAGGTATCCACCTTACAGTCCTAATTGAACTCTGATTTAATTTTGTTTCCTAATCTTAAAAAATCTGTAAAGGGCACCCGTTTTTCTTCACTTAATAATGTAAACAATCAACAACAACAGAACAGTGTTGATATGGTTAAATTCCCAAAGTGCTCCATGCTTTAGAGATGGATTGAATGTCTGTCATTGTCACTTACAGAAGTGTCTTGACCTGAATGGAACTTAAGTTCAGAAATAGTTATTTTATTTTTTGAGACAGAGACTCACTATGTTGCCCTGGCTGAACTCTTAGGCTCAAGAGATTCTCCTTTCTCAGCCTCTGAAGCTGGGTTTACAAGTGTGTGCCACCCTGCCTGGTGACTTTTTTTTTTTTTTTTTTTTTGAGACAGCGTTTTGCTCTTGTTGCCCAGGCTGGATTGCAATTGCACCATCTTGGCTCACCACAACCTCTGACTCCCGGGTTCAAGCGATTCTTCTGCCTCAGCCTCCTGAGTAGCTGGGGTAACAGGCATTCACCACTACGCCCAGCTAATTTTGTATTTTTAGCAGAGATGGAATTTCTCCATGTTGGTCAGGCTGGTCTCAAACTCCTGATCATAGGTGATCCACCTGCCTCGGCCTTCCAAAGTGCTCGGATTACAGGTGTGACCCACCTCGCCCAGCTCACTTTCCTATTTTTTAAACTGCAATGGGTAACATATAAAATTAGACTGATTAACAGACAAAAATCTATGAATAGATCCTACAGATTTGTTTGTATAATGAAAGGGTCAATATAAATCAGTAGGACATCAAAACAATTATCAGTCACACTTTATGGTTGCTAAGATTGAGGCATGTCAGAAACCACTAAATAATTGACTCACTGTGTCTACATTATTGTGTAGCTTTGGCTTTTATAATAATTTGTATACCAAAGGTTAATTTATTCATATAATGGGCTCCTTTCTGTGTTTATGGTATCTCCTTCCACCAAATCTCACATGAGCACATGAGTCAAAAGCCTCACTCAACCTTTTTTAGTTCATGTTCTCTGTACCTTTTATTTTATTTATTTTTTATTTTTATTTTGAGACCAGAGACAAGGTCTGGCTCTGTCACCCAGGCTGGAGTGCAGTGGCATGATCTCAGTTCACTGCAACTTTTGCCTCCCAGGTTCAAGCAACCTTCCCACCTCAGTCTCCTGAGTAGCTGGGACTACAGGCATGCTCCATCACACCCAGCTAATCTTTTTATTTCTTGTAGAGGTGGGATTTCACCAAATTGCCTAAGCTGGTCTCACACTCTTGAGCTCAAGTTATCTGCCTGACTCGGCCTCCCAAAATGCTGGGATTACAGACATGAACCACCACGCCCAGCCCTCTATACCCTTTCAATTGATTCCTAAGAGTTGACTGTTCATTGACCAGATGCCTAAGTTGATTGAGAATATAATCATTTCTGAGACACTTCCAGTGTTCTTTCAACTATTTGTGTTTCCAAAGGCTCCCTTCTCTGTTTCTTTTCTTATACTGTTATCACGGATTTTTTAAATAAAGACTCTTGTGATAGTTATCCTTTGAAAAAATCTGATGTCTCTGTCAGTAGCAATCCAGATTCTTGAGTGTTAATGATCCTCATAGTCCTTCCAAGTCTTCCTCAATCTGTAGTCATTATGGTGTAGAAAAGAGAACTATAGACAACCACTTACGCACTTACTACCTTTGATCTAGAGGCATTTACTAAACCTCTCAGTCATCTTGACTTTGCTCTTCCTGTCTCATGGTCCAAAGGACATGTCCTTAATTCCTAAAGACATATAGATTATATCTGAGACAGGATCTCACACACAGTAGGTGCTTTATGTATGCACTCTCTCCTCTCTATTATACAAACTTGTTACATCGCAACAGAATTACTTTGCCATTTCCCCTTGCCAGCAGGTCATTGTTTTCATTTATTCCAAGTGTTCAATCCTATTGAATAAATATAAAATATGGCTCTCATATTTCACAACATGAACAGCATTCTAATTTACTTCTAACACTTTACATGTCTACTCGTATCAGAATTTTCATTTCAATATATTTCATTAAAGCATAACAATGTCTAATAGTTTAGATGAAGAAAAGAAGCGATGTGATTTTCTATGGTAGCTATTTTATCAGGATGAGTATGAATTGCACATTAACCACCGTCACCCATGATTTATGGTACCTGAAACACACTAAGGTGCAATTATAAAATAACTAATGGATTATGTTTTCCTATAGGAAAAAAACCTTGAAGACAACTTACAGAGTTTGGCTACGCGATTAGCTCCAATTTATAAGCAGTATGCTCCAGTAGCTTACCAAAATCAGGTATGTACTGGTGTGGACTTTTTGTTTGTTTATTAATTTGAGATGGGGTCTTGCTTTGTTGCCCAGGCAGCAGTTCAGTGGCATGATCAAAGCTTGCAGCAAACTCCTAAGCTCAAGCAGTCCTCCTTCCTCACCCTAAAATATGCTGGGATTACAGATGAGCCAGATGATTTTATATTTTAAAAAGTCACTGTTGGCCAGGCATAGTAGCTCACACCTATAATCTCGGCACTTTGGGAGGCCAAGGTGGTCAGATCACCTGAGGTCAGGAGTTTGAGACTACCTGGCCCACATGGTGAAACTCCATCTCTACTAAAAATATAAAAATAGGCCAGGTGTGCTGACATGCGCCTATACTCCTAGCTAATTAGGAGACCAAGGCAGGACAATCATTTGAACCCGGGAGGTGGAGGTTGCATTGAGCTGAGATTATGCCACTGCACTCCAGCCTGGGTGACAGAATGAGACTGCGTGTCAAAAAAACAAAAGTCATTGTTAATAGAAAAATTTTCAAATTTGAACAAATATGTACATACACAGCATATATGTATCTATCTAACATCCATATATGTAATTGGACTTTTTATTGATCTATTCTTTTTTTTTTTTTTTTTTTTGAGACGCAGTCTCATTCTGTCTCCCAGGCTGGAGTGCAGTGACATAATCTCAGTTCAATGCAACCTCCGCCTCCTGGGTTCAAATGATTCTCTGGCCTCAGCCTCCCAAGTAGCTAGGACTACAGGCGCACATGCCACCACACCCTGCTACTAATTTTTTTGTATTTTTAGTAGAAATGAGACCATCACCTTGCCTCAAGTGATCTGCCCACCTCAGCCTCTCAAAGTGCTGGGATTACAGGTGTGACCTACCACACCTGGCCTCCACCTTTTCAGTTTAAAAGGAGTTACAAATTAATTTTCTTTTTTCTCTCTCTTTTTTTTAAAATTAATTTTCTATAATGGTTTATGAAATGTATCTATATCTTCTTTTATAGATACTGAAAATTCTCTGTATGTGATTAATGCAGTTTTATTGGTCTTTCTTTTTAATGGAGTGACTGAATCTATTTTACTTGCTTATCCATCTCCAGCAAGAATTAGTATCCCCCCCGCCTTCCCTCGTAAAGTTAGTGATTTTCCTTTTACTCCGTGTATTGTCAAGTGTTTTATCCTGAATATTGCTAAACTACACCTTCACCACAATAATCACTTAGTTTCAGAAATTACAAAGTGTAATTAATACTGAAACTTTGTCAGGAAATTATTTTTACTCTTTACTGATGGCAGGTGATCACCTTCTCTCTCTTAAGATTGTGCTCTATGCTTTCTTTTCTAGGTCGAATATGAAAATATTGCCCGAGAATGTCGGCTTGGCAGCAAGGAAGGTCGTCCCTTCTCTGGCGTCACTGCTTGCTTGGACTTCTGTGCCCATCCCCACAGGGACATTCACAACATGAATAATGGAAGCACAGTTGTATGTACCTGTGTGAATTTGTATTCTAAAAGCTCCATTACTCTATGCTTACGCTGCGCTCCTTAAGTATAACATGATGATTATTATTGCGACAAACCTTAATTCATGTGCTATTAGAAACAAGTGTATAGAGGAGGTCTTCATTAAATGCATTATCTAGGTACTTCTAAAAAGTAACAGAGCCAGTCCTAAACAAACATTTTGTTGAAAGGTTTATGTTACATATTGAACTGTGGTGTGTTTGCTGGGAGGCAGGAGCACATTATTATTTAAAGTAACAAATCTGTGCTATCAAACTGCTGGTAGGTATGAATTTGAGCAAGTTACTTAGTATTTTTGCCATTTGCACTTTAGGGTTTTGTAAGGCAACTGTGCCAGTTATCAGCAGTATTTCCATTCAGTTGTGCCTAGTAAGTCCATAGGTATGTAAATCATCACATGCCCATCGCTTAAATCAATCAAGAGATATGTAAATTAGGCAGAATATCCAGTGGAAAATCGTGCAATAGTCTTTTTGTCTGCTTGCTTCATCTAATTGTTTTCCTGTCATCTAGTAAAGCAGAGAAATAGACAGCAATTGCATTTGTTTTTCTGTTGCACCAGTTTTTTAGGTTTGCCAGATACTTTTGAAACCTTCATTGTCTTGACTGCAAGATGAGTAAGTTGGCTCAGGCCTGTTATCCCACCTACTTAGCAGACCAAGACGGGAGAATTGCTTGAGCCTGGGAGTTCTAGACCAGCCTGGGTGACAAGACCCCATCTCTTTAAAATGTACAATTAAAAAAAAAATTTTTTTTTTCAGGATTTAGCTACAGCCTCTTACAGTGTGATCAAAAGTATACGATCAGATCTTTCAACAGGCAGTCTTTCTTCCTTGCTTGGTCATTAGAAGTATATTAGTGATAGATTAAGCCAAAATAACCTTTTTTTGCATGTCATTTCTATATACAAAAATGTTTTGTACAGTCTTTGAAGCCAATGTTATTTCCAAGTGTTAAAGTTATGTCAATCCAGCCTGGTGAATACTAGCCAGGCAGTGGTTCATCACCATCACTTGGCCAGGACATTTCACCTGCATTACAGAATATCTGTGATTAGGCTGGAGTCCGTTCAGAGTCAGACTAAGTTTCAGTTTCTCTTCTCTGTGCGCTTTGACTTCTAGTACTCTGATTACTCATGAGATGAGGGTCTTATTGGGAACTTGATATCACTCCAAATGCCCCCATCTTCAAAAATGATGAGAATTCTTGAAATTCTACCACCACCTCTCCTTTGACCCTGATTTACCATACTTTCTTTTTTATTTCTTTTTCCTTTTCTTTATTGGTTTACTTTCTGCTCCTACGGTAACTATCCTTTCTAATTATACTCCTCACATCAACTCCTTATTTCCTTCTTAGTCTCTGTGGCCAATTAAATTGGTTCCAGTAAGCATTTATTGATGTGAGATTCTGATTTTCAACATGACTTTTTTTTTTTAGCTGGAGTTTCGCTTTTTTTCCCCAGGCTGGAGTGCAACAGAGCAATCTTGGCTCACTGCAACCTCTACCTCCCAGGTTCATGTAATTCTCCTGCCTCGGGCCCCCCCAGGTAGTTGGGATTACAGGCATACATCACTGCACCCGGCCCCATGACAATTTATTATTTCCAGTTTTGGCCAGGCACCATGGCTCATGCCTATAATTCCAGCACTTTGGGACAGTGAAATGGAAGGACTGCTTGAACCCAGGATCTTTAATGTAGCCTAGGCAACTTTGTGAAAACCTGTCTCTACAGAAAAAAATAAATAAATTTAAAAATTAGCTAGGCATGATGGTACTCACCTGTATTCCCAGCTACTCAGAAGACTGAGGCAGGAGAATCACTCAAACCCAGGAGTTTGAGGCTGAAACAAATGCAATTCTATTTATATTTTAGGCTTTTTTGAAAAATGTGACTTCAGATATTGGGGAAAAAAACTGATTTTTTTTAGCCTTTAACTCTTTAACTTTGCATTACCATTGGTAGCTATCAAGTTCTATCATGAATTCAAAAATGCTGTGAAAATCAAATCTGTGCCGGGCGCAGTGGCTCACGCCTGCAATCTCAGCACTTTGGGAGGCCACGGCAGGCGGATCACAAGGTCAAGAGAGCAAGACGGTCCTGGCCAACATCGTGAAACCCCATCTCTACTAAAAAGTATAAATATTAGCTGGGCATGGTGGCACGCACCTGTCGTCCCAGCTACTCAGGAGGCTGAGGCAGGAGAGTTGCTTGAACTCAGGAGGTGGAGACTGTAGTGAGCCGAGATTGAGACACTGTACTCCAGCCTGGCGCCTGATGACAGAACAAGACTCTGTCTCAAAAAAAAAAAAAGAAAAGAAAAAAATCTGTTTATTTCATTTATTTCTAGTCTTTGCTATCACTGAAAGAGTTTATATCTCCATAATATATGTTTGTAATATAAAATAAAGAAAACATTTGGTAGGTTTCTGGTGGGTTTTTAATATTTAAAAATTAATTTGGCTGGGCCCAGTGGCTCACAGCTGTAATCCCAGCACTTTGGGAGGTTGAGGCAGGCGGATCACTTGAGATCAGGAGTTCAAGACCAGCCTGGCCAACATGGTGAGACCCTGTCTCTACTAAAAATACGAAAATTAGCTGGGTGTGGCATCACACACCTGTAATCCCAGCTATTCTGGAGGCTGAGGCAGGAGAATCGCTTGAACCCAGGAGGTGATGGTTGCAATGAGCCAAGATCACACCACTGCACCCTGGGGAACAGAATCAAGCTCTGTCTCAAAAAAAAGGAAAATTAATTACAACTAAAATAGTAGTTTGTTTGTTTGTTTGTTTGTTTATTGAAACAGAGTTTCACTCGTGTTACCCAGGCTGGAGTGCAATGGCGCGATCTTGGCTCATTGCAACCTCCGCCTGCTGGGTTCAGGCAATTCTCCTCCCTCAGCCTCCTGAGTAGCTGGGATCACAGGCACGTGCCACCATGCCCAGCTAATTTTTTGTATTTTTAGTAGAGACGGGGTTTCACCATGTTGACCAGGATGGTCTTGATCCCTTGACCTCGTGATCCACCTGCCTCGGCCTCCCAAAGTGCTGGGATTACAGGCGTGAGCGACCGTGCCCGGCCCAAATACTAGTTTTAATAGCAGAATATATTAATATTAGGTATCCAAAGTCAGGAATCAGTATAGTATCTATAGTTCTGTAATTTCATTTATCTATAATAAATATAACCTTTAAAGTAAAGAGGAGAGCTAAAATAGGTTGCATTTAAGGTTTAAAAAATTTTAGCTATATACTATTAATATTTCATATCCAAAGAAGGGCAAATTTATTGATATTTATTGATATGGCTCCTTATTGGAATATAGCAATAATGGAACAGAAAGAGAATATTTATCAATATAAAATTTTAAAAATTTGTAATAATTTACTTAGAAAATCAACTAAATATTACTCTGGTCTGCTTACAAACAACTGGGAAGTTACTATAATTGGAAAGAGTTGGGTGGCTTGATATAAAATAATAATATACCATCATCAACCAATTGAAAATAAAATGGGAATATAAATCTCTTTCCCAAATGTAACAAAATGAAGATAGGAATTAGCCACAGTGAATGTGCACGACCCATATATCTTTCCCATTTCATGTTTTTCTCCCTATCAGGTTTGTACTTTAACTAGAGAAGATAACCGCTCTTTGGGTGTTATTCCTCAAGATGAGCAGCTCCATGTGCTACCTCTTTATAAACTTTCAGACACAGACGAGTTTGGCTCCAAGGAAGGAATGGAAGCCAAGATCCAGTCTGGGGCCATTGAGGTGCTGGCACCCCGCCGCAAAAAAAGAACTTGTTTCACTCAGCCTGTTCCCCGTTCTGGGAAGAAGAGGGCTGCGATGATGACAGAGGTTCTTGCACATAAGATAAGGGCAGTAGAGAAGAAACCTATTCCCCGACTCAAGCGGAAGAATAACTCAACAACCACAAACAACAGTAAGGCTTCATCACTGCCAACCTTAGGTGAGCCCTGTGGACCTTGCTAATCTCTGTACAACTGTGATTGATACAGTGTTTGGACTTTCTTTCCCTCGCACATTATCTTTGCAGCTATCTTAGGCACAAGGCATTATGAAAAGAAAATATTTAAAGCAGATGTATTATTATAGTTTGTTTAGAGTTAAAACAAAGACACTGCCAGCGGGGTGCGGTGGCCACGCCTATAATCCCAGCACTTTGGGAGGCCGAGGAGGGTGGATCACGAGGTGAAGAGATCGAGACCATCCTGGTCAACAAGGTGAAACCCCATCTCTACTAAAAATACAAAAATTAGCTGGGCATGTTGGTGCACGCCTGTAGTCCCAGCTACTCGGGAGGCTGAGGCAGAAGGATTGCTTGAACCCAGAAGGCGGAGGTTGCGGTGAGCCGAGATCCAGCCATTGCACTCCAGTCTGGGTAACAAGAGCGAAACTCCGTCTCAAAAAAAAAAAAACGAAGACCCTGAATATATTTTTACATATGCCAGAACCAAAAGTCAACAAAAAAGTACCCCATCAGTGTTTCTTTGTAATTTTTTCTACTTATCCTTTTTTATATTTTAATATATTCTTTTTTTGGCATGAGGAGGGGTCTCACTTTGTTGCCCAGGCTGGCTTGGCACACCTGGGCTTAAGCAGTCATCTCACCTCAGCCTCCTCTGGACTAGCTGGAACTATAGGCACACACCACTATGCCCAGCTTATTTTATTTAATTTTAATTTTTTTTTTTTTTGAGACGGAGTTTCGCTCTTGTTACCCAGGCTGGAGTGCAATGGCGCAATCTCGGCTCACCGCAACCTCCACCCCCTGGGTTCAGGCAATTCTCCTGCCTCAGCCTCCTGAGTAGCTGGGATTACAGGAACGCGCCACCAGGCCCAGCTAATTTTTTGTAATTTTTAGTAGAGACGGGGTTTCACCATGTTGACCAGGATGGTCTCAATCTGTTGACCTCGTGATCCACCCGCCTCGGCCTCCCAAAGTGCTGGGATTATAGGCTTGAGCCACCGCGCCCGGCCAATTTTAATTTTTATTTATTTTGTATAGATGGGGTTTCACCATGTTGGTCAGGCTGGTCTTGAACTCCCGACTTCAGGTGATCCACTCGCCTTGGCATCCAAAGTACTTGGAGATTACAGGCGTGAGCCACCATGCCCAGCCTTTTTTTTTTTTTTTAATTTTTTTGTTTTGTTTGTTTTGTTTTGTTTTAACATGTTCTTATTATTGTTCCTATGAATTGCCCCATCTAATTTGAAGTCCTGTACATTGTTCTTAGCATAGATAATGGACATGACTTCATGGATGCCTTCCTTGATCACTTTTACCATCTATTTAAGTAATCAGTAAACTAATAGAACTAAACACCACTTTAACAGTGGTATTGTGGACTGTGGGTTTTTTTGGTTGGTTTGTCTTTTTAGAGAAGGTCTTGCTGCAGTGCAGTAGCATGGTCACGGTTCACTGTAGCCTCAACCTTCCAGGCTCAAACAATCCTCCCACCTCAGCCTCCCAAGAAGCTGGGACTGTAGTGCGTGTGCCACCATGCCTAGCTAATTACTGTATTTTTTGTAGAGATAGGGCTTCACCATGTTTCCCAGGCTGATCTGAACTCCTGGACTCAAATGATCTTCCCAAAGTGGTGGAATTACAGGCATGAGCCATCACACATAGCTTCATTTGTTATGAAGGCTTGTTAGTTTTTTGGGTTTTTTTAAGTGACAGAGTCTTGCTATGTTGCCAAGGCTGGAGTACAATGGCTATTCACAGGTACAATCATAATACATTGCTGCCTCAAACTCCTGAGATCAAATTATATTCCCACAGGAGCCTCTCTACTACCTGGGACTATAGGTGTACACCACTACACCTGGCTCTTATCAGCTTTTCACCTAATTTTTGTGTGTGTGTGACAGAGTCTTGCTCTCTTGCCTAGGCTGAAGTGCAGTGGTGTGACCTTGGCTCACTGCAACCTACGCCTCCTGGGTTCAAGCAATTCTCCTGCCTCAGCCTCCTGAGTAGCTGGTACTACAGACATATGCTGCCACACCTGGCTAATTTTTGTATTTTTAGTAGAGATGGGGTTTCACCATGTTGGCCAGGCTGTTCTCAAACTCCTGACCCTGTGATCCACCCACCTTGGCCTCCCAAAATGCTGGGATTACAGGTGTGAGTCCCCATGCCTAGGTTTTCACCTAATTTTTTTTTTTTTTTTTTTTTTGAGAGAGAGTCTCACTCTGTCACCCAGGCTGGAGTGCAGTAGCACCATCTCAGCTCACTACAACATCCACCTCTTGGGTTCAGGCCAGGAGGCCTCAACCTTCCGAGTAGCTAGGATTACGGGAGCTCAACTGGCTAATTTTTGTATTTGCAGTGAGACAGGGTTTCACCATGTTGGCCAGTCAGGTCTTGAACTCCTGACCTCACGTGATCTACCAGCTTCAGCCTCCCAAAGTGCTGGGATGACAGGTGTGAGCCACCACGCCCAGCTGGCTTCTCATTTCTTTTGCCACAACTCCAGTTGTCTTTGATAGCTTTCCTAACTTCTATAACAAGTTGTTCCAGGCTTATCTTATATAGTTCTGCCCCATATTTAAAATCAACCATTTCTTTGAAGGAAAAAAAATCATGAATTTATACTGACATTTAAAATTAACTTTATAGTATATTCCTTGGCTTTAATTTTTTTATATTTATGAGAGGTTATTTGTTTTTATAACATGAGGAGAATTACAGTACAGGCATTTATATAATGCTGAAAAAAATATAATACAGCCGGACAAGATGACTCAGGCCTATAATCCCAGCACTTTGGGAGGCTGAGGTGGGTGTATCACCTGAGGTCAGAAGTTCAAGACCAGCCTGGCCAACATAGTGAAACCCCGTCTCTACTAAAAATACAAGAATTAGCTGGGCATGGTGGTGGACACCTGTAATCCCAGCTACCAGGAGGCAGAGGTTGCAGGGAGCTGAGACAGTGCCATTGCACTCCAGCCTGGGTAGCAAGAGCAAAACTCCATCTCAAAAAAAAAAAAATGTAATGCAGAGAAATAATATTGAGGAGAAATGTGGGGGAGAATGATTTCCTTCTGGCTTATAGCTCCATTTTCAGATAATTTAGATAATTTTCTGATTTCCCTATCTGGTTCCATGCTGTTCTAAAGGCAAATAGATCATTTTTATCCTTCTGTCATTTCCCAGCAGTACTCTTACATACTGACTAAATGCTGGTTAAAATGCAAGTCATTTTTGTAGGTCATCTTTTACCTATTTTCTTTTAAATAGAGACAAGCTTTTCCTATGTTGCCTAGAGCTCGCAGTCCAGCTGTTTTCTTATAGTATATTCCCAGATATTCGTAAGCATATGTACAATACTTGGCCTATAATATGCTTTTCTTTTGCAATTCTACCCCTCAGTCATTTAGTCTTTTCTTCCCATCATTTACCTTCTGTGGATAACCTAACTTCTATAATAATATTGCCACTGATAACAGCAGAGGTTTCCTGACGTATCATTGCTGGGTCTTATATGTGCTTTATCTTTAGAAATGAGAGCTCTCGTGGCTCCAGGTTGTAGAATCTGAGAGGAGAACTGCAGAGCTTCTGAAAGTAATCAATGTTCCAGGTGCGGTGGCGTGTGCCTGTAGTCTCAGCTATTAGGGAGGCTGAGGCGGGAGGATCACTTGAGCCCAGGAGTTCTGGGCTGTAGTGCACTATGCCAATCCAGTGTCTGCACTAAGTTTGGCATCAATATGGTGACCTCCTGGGAGCGGGGGACCACCAGGTTGCCTAAGGAGGGGTGAACCATCCCAGGTCGGAAACAGAGGAGGCCAAAACTCCCGTGCTTATCAGTGTGGGATCTCGCCTATGAATAGCCACTGCACTCCAGCCCAGGCAACAAAGCAAAACCCTGTCTCTTAAAATCATGAAATTAATCAATATTTATTATATTTTTAATTACTTTAAAACATGGCTGCTTTACCTTTTCTTGGTCCTAAGATTTGCTGATTTTGCACTTCCAAAGATTTTTTTATAACAGGGCCCAGGCGCAGAGGCTCATGCCTGTAATCCCAGTACTTTGGGAGGCTGAGGCAGGCAGATCTTGAGGTCAGGAGTTGACCATCCTGATTAACATGGTGAAACCCCATCTCTACTAAAATACAAAAAAATAGCTGGGTGTGGTGCTGTGCACCTGTAGAGCCAGGGAAATCGCTTGAACCTGGGAGGTGGAGATTGCAGTGAGCTGAGATTGTGCCACTGCACTTCAGGCTGTTAACAGAGTGAAATTCCATCTCAAAATAAAGAAGAGGCCAGGTGTGGTGGCTCATGCCTGTAATCTCAGCACTTTGGGAGGCTGAGGCGGGTGGATTGCCTGAGGTTAGGAGTTCGAGACCAGCCTGATCAACATGGTGAAACCCTATTTCTACTAAAAATACAAAAATTAGCTAGGTGTGGTGGCAAGTGCCTATAATCCCGGCTACTCGGGAGGCTGAGGCAGGAGAATCGCTTGAACTCGGGAGGCGGAGGTTGTGGTGAGCCGAGATTGAGCCATTGCACTCCAGCCTGGGCAAAAAGAGTGAGACTTCGTCTCAAAATAAATAAATAAATAAAATAATAAGAAGAAGAACTTCATAATAGGGAGAATGTCCTCAAGGAAAATGTTTCTGTTTGATGTGAGATTTGTGTGGATATGTCAGAGCAAATAACGCATACTTGACATCTTGAGAGTAGTGATCTACCTCCTTAGTGAGAAGGAAACTAAGTTTTTGAGGGTCACAAAGTTTTATGTTCAACTACATTTTGCCTGACTTCTCTCTGCCTAATCTTGGCCTTTGCCAGTTCTCATGATTTTGTTACCTAGAAATATTTATAAACTATTACTTCTTTTTACTTTTTAAAATATAGGGTCATATAGTGTCTTAAATGCATCTAAATATCTCTTTGAATAGTTGGATATTGCCATATGTCATTGTATTATAATACCTGCACAATATCACAACATATAGTTGTATTATTTACTTCATACCTAATTAGGTCAATTCTAATATTTTGCTATTTCAAACAGTAGGTATCCATCCTTTTGGCTAGATTTTTGCACTTATTTATGCTTCTTTCCCAAAGGAAGAGTTCTTTAAGGAAAATTATTAGGTGAAATGTATATGAAATGACATAAATTTTTAATTCATGTGTGCATGATTGAAATGAACAGAACAAACCCAACCAACACAACATCAGTGTTTTCTTATATAATTCTTTGTAACTTACCTTTGAAAATACTTTTTAAAAGACAACACCTACCAAAAGTAATTTGTATTTTTCTTCACATTTGATGTTTAGGGAGTAAAACAGAGACCATGCAACCTGAACTAAAAAGTGAAACTGATCCCCATTTTATCCTAAAAAGTTCAGACAACACTAAAACCTATTCGCTGATGCCATCCGCTTCTCACCCAGTGAAAGAGGCATCGCCAGGCTTTTCCTGGTCCCCGAAGACTGCATCAGTTGCACCAACTCCATTGAAGAATGACGTAACAGCCTCGTGCGTGTTTTCAGAAAGAAGCAGCACTCCCCACTGCACGATGCCTTTGGGAAGACTCAGTGGTGCCAATGCAGCTGCTGCAGAAGGCCCTGGCATTTCACAGCTTGGCGAAGTTGCTCCTCTCCCCACCCTGTCTGCTCCTGTGACAGAGCCCTTTATGAATTCTGAGCCTCCCACTGGTGTGACTGAGCCGCTAACGTCTCATCAGCCAAATGAGCAGCCCTTCTTCCTCACCTCTCCCCAAGACCTTGCCTCTTCTCCAATGGAAGAAGATGAGCAGCATTCTGAAGCAGATGAGCCTCTATCAGACGATCCCTTATCTGATGACCCCTTGTCACCTGCTGAGGAGAAATTGCCCCACATTGATGAGTACTGGTCAGACAGTGAGCACATCTTTTTGGATGCAAATATTGGTGGGGTGGCCATCGCACCTGCCCACGGCTCAGTTTTGATTGAGTGTGCCCGGCGAGAGCTGCACGCTACCACTCCTGTTGAGCACCCCAACCGTAATCATCCAACCCGCCTCTCCCTTGTCTTTTACCAGCACAAAAACCTAAATAAGCCCCAACACGGTTTTGAACTAAACAAGATTAAGTTTGAGGCTAAAGAAGCTAAGAATAAGAAAATGAAGGCCTCAGAGCAAAAAGACCAGGCAGCTAAAGAAGGTCCAGAACTGTCCTCTGAAGCAAATGAATTAAACCAAATTCCTTCTCATAAAGCATTAACATTAACTCATGACAATGTTGTCACCGTGTCCCCTTATGCTCTCACACACGTTGCGGGGCCCTATAACCATTGGGTCTGAAGGCTTTTCTCCCCCTCTTAATGCCTTTTTGCTAGTGCAGTGTATTTTTTCAAGGTGCTGTTTTAAGAAAGTCATGTTGTCGTTTACTATATCTTCATCTCACCCATTTCAAGTCTGAGGTAAAAAAATAATAATAATAACAAACGGGGTGGGTATTCTTAACTGTGACAATATTTTGACAATTGGTAGAAGGTGCACATTTTAAGCAAAAATAAAAGTTTTATAGTTTTAAATACATAAAGAAATGTTTCGGTTAGGCATTAACCTTGGTAGAATCACTCAGTTTGGTGCTTTCAATTAAGTCTGTTTACTCTGAAACAAGAGTCATTTTTAGAGGATTTTAACAGGTTCATGTTTATGATGTAAAATCAAGACACACAGTGTTAACTCTACACAGCTTCTGGTGCTTAACCACATCCACACAGTTAAAAATAAGCTGAATTATTATTTCATGGTGCCATTGTTCCAACATCTTCCAATCATTGCTAGAAAATTGGCATATTCTTTTGAAATAAACTTATGAAATGTTTTCTCTCTTAAAATATTTCTTCTGTGTAAAATAAATTGTTGTTAGTAATGGTTGGAGGCTGTTCATAAATTGTAAATAGATATTTTAAAAGCACTTTCTATTTTTAAAAGTAACTTGAAATAATATAGTATAAGAATCCTATTGTCTATTGTTCGTGCATATTTGCATACAAGAGAAATCATTTATCCTTGCTGTGTAGAGTTCCATCTTGTTAATTGCAGTATGTATTCTAATCATGTATATGGTTTGTGTTCTTTTACTGTGTACTTTCACATTCAAATGTTAGCAACTCGCAGTATTTAAAATAGATAATGAGAAGTTGTTAATTATGGAATTAGGAAGCATATCACCAATACTGATTAACATTTCCTTTGGAACTAGGTAAGAGTGGTCTCTTCTGACTTACTGAACAACTTTAGTCTAGTTTCATCCTACCTTTCTCATTATAATCCATGAGAAGTATTTCCAAAAGGAGATGATGGGACAGGATAGGTTTCAGAAGAGTCAAATGCTTCTAATGTCTCAAGGTGATAAAATACAAAAATTAAGTAGACAGATATTTGTACTGAAGTCTAATATAGAATTAGAAAAAGAAAATCTTGTTGAAATATTTTGAAAACCAACTCCCTACTATCATCACATGCTTTCCCAACCCCAAGTCAAACAAGAGGAATGGTACTATAAACATGGCTTTGTCCATTAAGAGCTAATTCATTTGTTTATCTTAGCATATTAGATTTGGGAAAATGATAACTCATCTTTTCTGATAATTGCCTATGACCTAGGTAACAGGAAAACAGGCATTACGTTTATTTTAGTCTTCCCATTTTTTTCCTATTACTTTGTTGACTCATTTTGTTGCAAAACAAAAAGGATTACCCAAACAACATGTTTAGAACAAGGAGAACTTTCAATGAAATACTTGATTCTGTTAAAAGCAGAGGTGCTATAACATTCAAAGTGTCAGATTCCTGGGGAGTATGGAAAACCTAATGGTGCTTCTCCCTTGGAAATGCCATAGGAAGCCCACAACCGCTAACACTTACAATTTTGGTGCAAAAGCAAACAGTTCCAGCAGGCTTTCTAAAGAAAAACTCATTGTAACTTATTAAAATAATATATGGTGCAAAGTATCTGATTTGAGCTTTTGACTAATCCAAGTGAAGGAATATGAAGGGATTGTAAATAACAAAAATGTCCATTGATAGACCATCGTGTACAAGTAGATTTCTGCTTGTTGAAATGTAAAATAGGGTAATTCATTAACTTGTTTTAGTATTTTGTGTGCCTTAGATTTCTGTTTTAAAACATGTATATTTTTGTGGGCCTAAGGTTTCTTATACATATAAGTATATAAATAAGTGATTGTTTATTGCTTCAGCTGCTTCAATGAGATATTTACTAGTATTATACTATCAGGAATACACCCTTGCGAGATTATGTTTTAGATTTTAGGCCTTAGCTCCCACTAGAAATGATTTCTTCACCAGATTTAATGGATAAAGTTTTATGGCTCTTTATGCATTCACTCATCTATTCATTCTTCGAGTCTATACTTACTGAATGCCTGCAAAATCTAAGTGTCACTTTTATTTTTCTTTGAAAAACCACCTATGACATAGTAAACTTGAAGAATAAAAACTACCCTCAGAAATATTTTTAAAATAAATAGCAAATTATCTTCAAAATAATCCATGGTAATGTATGCAGTAATTCAAATTGATCTGTCTCTCAATAGGTTTCTTAACAATCTAAACTTGAAACATCAATGTTAATTTTGGGGACTATTGGGATTTGTGACACTTGCTGCAATTTACCAAAACAAGTACATGAAAATATCTCGTATCAACTGAAATGTTTCCATTTCATTGTTGTAATTAACATCATGAATGGACTTCCTAAACTGATCACCCCACTGTGGGAACCAAATTGGATTCCTATTTTGTTGGACTCTCTTTCCCGATTTTAACAATTTACCATCCCATTCTCTGCCCTGTGATTTTTTTAAAAGCTTATTCAATGTTCTGCAGCATTGTGATTGTATGCTGGCTACACTGCTTTTAGAATGCTCTTTCTCATGAAGCAAGGAAATAAATTTGTTTGAAATGACATTTTCTCATAATACTGGTCATCTAACATTATTTCTACCCCTCTATTATGTTTTGCTATAATGATCACCTTTAACACTCTAATTGGGTTTTAAATCTGCATTTGTTCATAGTATGATCATTGAATTCACTGATACATGACCTCCTAGTTAGCTCAATCAGTGCATCATATGCTACAAACTTATCAACTTAAGTGAAGGAATAATTCCTGTGTATTGCAGAATCCTACAAAATATGCTGCCCCTAGATATTCCATTTCATTTTTCTTTTTTTTTTTGGAGTGACAGTCTTGCTATGCTGCCCAGGCTGGTCTCAAACTCCTGGCCTCAAGTGGTCCTCCTGCATCAGCCTCCTAAAGTACAAAACTTATAAGCATGAGCCACTCTACCCAGTCTAAAATTCCATTTCTAATGGCTCTTGATCCATTGTTGAAATTTCTTTTTTTCTTCCTTGTGCTTGTCAGTCTCACCTACCTCTTGTTTCCAATTCATCTACAAAGTACCAAATAGACCAGGTCATAAACTGAATTGAAATACATTCTTATCAGAAAGTGAGGCTATTTGAAAAGGCATAGGTAGCTGTAGGCAAATTAAGGAAAGTGAGGCTATTTGAAAAGGCATAGATAGCTGTAGGCAAATTATTGCAACATGTTTACATCTTAAATATTGTCCAACATCTTTGTTATTCAATCTGCATGTTGATAATGTAGTTTCATTTATTAAATTTAGAACTTCAACTAGATGAGATCCATAAGTAATTTACTTAAGACATAACCTCAATACATATTTAATTGAATGCATACCCTTGTGTAAATAAGCTACTCATTTAATTCATATGACTAACCTACTTTCTAATATTACAGTGGACTCCTACTGATCATTTCACAATAGCATGTGTGAAAATAACCCTGAACTAATTTTTAAAACAAATTATATTGACTTTATCTGGGACATAGGTAAGACTTTATTGCATGAAACTTCCACTGACAGTGGGCACAGCATTTCCTTTGCATGTGCCAACTAAATCAGTAGCTGTATGCGACCTTCAATAAATATATAGTTATTACCTTCAATTTCACTCCTTGATGCATGGAAATCTTTTTTATCTAGATTTAATACAACTGTGAGTTTTGATCTTTTATAGAAATTTGTGACAGAATTTCGGAATAAATTAATATAGTAGTGGCCTTTCATAGCAATGGAAGACACCTGCGAAGTCATATAGTTCAATCACTGGGGTCCAGAGAGCAAATCTTAATGTTAAATTAGAATTAGAATTTAAACAGATGAAGGCCACTTTGTGTTGAGAACAGGAGGGAAACTTGATTTTCATACCCAAAAGATATTTTATCACTGTTAAATAAACAGGTATCAAATGCTTATACATTATAGGTTTTCAATTTCCCTGGATCTAGTGTTAAGCATATACAAGAAGTTATAAAGGCGTGAATGACTGAAACAGTTAAGGAAAGTATATTTCCACTGTATATACTACCTAGCCATGATTGTAGAGTTCATTCATGCCCCTTGCCTAGTTAGCCTCACAGTTAAGTCCCAGCATAGTTTATTTTGATGTAGCTGTCTACATGTATTGGAATACTATTTTATTGCACATAGCTTCTAAACTTGCCCATATGTAGTGCTGGCTTCAGCAGCACATATACTAAACTTGCCCATATATGTATTGAACTTACTACTTTCAACACCAGTTGTATGGCACACTTAACCAAGTGATTATAACCAATACATGATTGCTGAAGGAGTCTGGATTTATTCAAATCAAACTGCGCTCCATGTTGAGCTAACTTTTAACAGCTTTAGAAAATGATGTCATGCATTGCTCTGGAATACAATTCAGAAAGGATCAGTATGTCCTTCATCAGAAGCTAAATTTGTGTGTTTTCTTAGAATATATTGAGATTTACTGGCAATGTTCTTGCTTTTCCTATATATATAAAATATAAACTGATTTCCTTTATTACTTTCTGAAATGGTAGAGCTGGTTATTATGCAGGCTATCATTACTATTTTGGTCTGCATGGATAGCTGTAAATTTTATTTTTTTATTTTATTATTATTTTGCTGCAAATTTTAATTCTCTACCTTTCAGTGTCTGGAAGACTTTTTTTTTTTTTTTTTGAGACGGAGTTTCGCTGTTGTTACCATTGCACTGGAGTGCAATGGTACGATCGCGGCTCACCGCAACCTCCGCCTTCTGGGTTCAAGCAATTCTCCTGCCTCACCCTCCCGAGTAGCTGGGATTACAGGCACACGCCACCATGCCCAGCTAATTTTTGTATTTTTAGTAGAGACGGGGTTTCACCTTGTTGACCAGGATGGTCTCGATCTCTTGACCTCGTGATCCACCCGCCTAGGCCTTCCAAAGTGCTGGGATTATAGGCGTGAACCACCGTGCCCGGCCTGGAAGACTTTTTAATTCCTTGTTTCTTCTGGGCTTCCAATCACACACCGTTGTTTCAAAAGGCATATATTTTACTCTCAAGTAATCCAAAGGTATTTTTTTTTTTTTTTTGAGACGGAGTTTCGCTCTTGTTACCCAGGCTGGAGTGCAATGGCGCAATCTCGGCTCACCGCAATCTCCGCCTCCTGGGTTCAGGCAATTCTCCTGCCTCAGCCTCCTGAGTAGCTGGGATCACAGGCACGTGCCACCATACCCAGCTAATTTTTTGTATTTTTAGTAGAGATGGGGTTTCACCATGTTGACCAGGATGGTCTTGATTTCTCGACCCCGTGATCCACCCGCCTCGGCCTCCCAAAGTGCTGGGATTACAGGCTTGAGCCACTGCACCCGGCCCAATCCAAAAGTATTCTTAATTTTGCTACTCCTCCTTTTCACTTCTCTTTAAGAGCCTGACATATGTTCGTTTCTCTTGATAGTATGCAATATTTAATATTTCTAGCTCTAAAATTCCATCATTAGTCTTTCTTTCTTTTTTTTTTTTTTTTTTTGAGTGATTGTCTTGCTCTGTCCCCCAGGCTGCAGTACAGTGGTGTGATCTCGGCTCACTGCAATCTCTCTCCTGGGTTCAAGCAATTCTCCTGCCTCAGCCTCCTAAATAGCTGGGATTACAGGTGCTCACCACCATGCACAGCTAATTTTTGTATTTTAGTAGAAACGAGGTTTCACTATGTAGATCAAGCTGGTCTCCTGACCTCTGATGATCCTCCTGCCTCGGCTTCCCAAAGTGCTAGGATTACAGGCGTGAGCCACTGCACCCAGCCAATCATTTATTTATCATCTGTACTTCTTTCCTACCTTTACTGTAATACTTACGATCTTGCCTTGGTCATAAGTTTTCTTCTAGTTTGTTCAACCATAGATGTCCTCTATGTTGGAGCAAAACTAGGTCCAAGGTAGGAATGTAATTATTAGGTGTAAAACATATTAGTTGATTTAACCCACTTATATTTGAATGCAACTTTGGAAATCTTTGGTTAACAGTATAAAGCTATCTTTCCTAAAAATAGAAATTTTGTCCTAGGCAGCTGTTAAGTAAGACATGACCCTTGTCTTGTTCAAAAGAAAGAAACTGCAGCTGTCAAATTTTCATTTTAGGAGAAACAATATTGGAAAGCAATTTGGTTTCTTCTCCATTTCATAAGCTATGAACCTTATAACCCTTGACTAGAAACTCTACTTGTTATTTTTCTTTTTTCTCATTTTACTGAAGCTGCAATGTCACTAAACGCACTTTCATTCTTTTCACAGTGTTATTTTTCTTTGATTTTCTTTAAATTAAAAATCTATTGCTTCCCCTTCTCTGTCCTGTCTCCATTCCTCTGATCCCATACACAAATACACATTGTACATTTAAAAAATAGCAATAATCTTGGTAAAGCTGTCTTTTCCTGTCTTTCAGTTCTTCTAGTTGTAACATCATAAGAAATCATAAACTTTTCTTAAACTGTTTTTCAGTTTTAGGCAAATTGCGTGCTTAGGAATAATAGTTAAGCAGTCACAAGACCACAGGTTAATATTGAGTGCTCTTTTTTTTTCATGTCCCCCCACCGCCCCGAGTGCTCTTTTACTTTACCAATCCCAACAATGTTTAACTCTTACTTACTAGTGTTTTGAATGTTTTATTTTAAGATTGTGTATGAAGTTAAATATTCTAAGTCCTTCTGTGTGGCTTTACTATTTCTAATGCAAATTTACTCCATTGGAATTTTTTGGTTTTTGCCAGTAATAGGAATTATTCTGCAATCTGGGTGAGAAAGATTAGGAAATGAACTGAAAAAGTAATTGGAAGAGGAGGCAGAAGTAGACCATCAGAAACTCTTTTGACCATAAGAAGGGGAAGTTAAGGGACAGAATGGAGGAAGAATTGTACTACTATCAGCAATCTGAGGGTTCACTCTACCTGCTTAAAAGCAAGAAATATTTTTAATATTTCTTCTCACCACTCTGCACTAATTTAATCTGAAAAATTGCTGCTAAAATGTAGCCATTTTGAAAGCAGTGGTAGTAATCAAAGGTATAATCCTCATGCTATATAATGTTTTAGATTATCAAACTGCTGTACTATGTGCAGCTTTTTCTGCCCGTTACTGAAGGTTAGATGGAAAACGTTGTCCCCATCTTAGAGGTGAGGAACCTCAGATGACAAGAATAGCAAATGGCTGGCTCCAAGTCACACAGCAAGTCAATCAATCAGAAACTAAAATATTTATTATCTGCAGATGCTAAATTTCTGCATCATAAACAATGACTTGGAGAGAATGTTGCTGAGTAGAAATTTTGTCCCACCTGATCTGAGAATATAAAATCTTATCATTCATAAAACATACTTCTGAAGTATTTTGTTTCCTTTATTTATTTAGCCAGCTAGTTTCTTATGCGGACTAAAGAAAGTCTCCTGAATTCCTTAAATTCCGCAATAGGGCTTAGATGTATGAAGTTTTATATTTTTTCCTCCTTATAAAAACCTCTTTTTATAAAGAATATCCCTGTGGTACTAAAACAAGGGAAAATCTCCTAAATAATATATTTTTAAATATTACTTTTTTTAAAAAGCTAGAGTAACCACCTCACAATCAAAATTTAATGTATTTGTTATATTGAAACGCAGGTTTTTTGAGGGAAACATGGTAGGTAAACATTTTAGTTCCCAACTCCTGATGGTAAAAATGCTAAATTAGGCCAGGTGTGGTGGCTCATGCCTATAATCCCAGCACTTTGGGAGGCCAAGGTGGGTGGATCATGAGGTCAGGAGTTCAAGACCAGCCTGGCCAAGATGGTGAAACCCTGTTGCTACTAAAAATACAAAAATTAGCCAGGCGTGATGGTGGACACCTGTAATCCCAGCTACTTGAGAGGCTGAGGCAGAGAATTGGTTGAACCGGGGAGGCGGAGATTGTGGTGAGCTGAGATTATGCCACTGCACTCCAGCCTAGGTGACAGAGCGAGACTCTGTCTCAAAAAAAAAAAAAAATCAAAATTGTTGGCATCTCTAAGAGATACTATTGTCTCCCACTTAATTGAATTTGTTTTCTTTTGTTTGTTTTGCTTTGATTCCAGCCGCATAAAATCTGTGAGTCAAAGATTGACCCAGAGATTTGCTCAGAGACTTAAGAAAAATAATGAGATGTAGTTGTAATTTTTTTTTAATTGAAATAGAGTTTCACCATGTTGGTCAAGCTGATCTCAAATTCCTGACCTCAGGTGATCCACCTGCCTTGTCCTCCCAAAGTGCTGGGATTACAGGCATGAGCCACCGCACCCAGCGGTAAATTTTAAAATAATGAAAAATAATGAGATGTCTTTGTAAATTTTTAAAATAACCTCCTTATTTGAATAAAGAGGTAGGATGTTCTGGCTATCTAATTAGCACATACTGGGTCATACACACACACACACACACACACACACACACAAATAGGCCAAACAACTCTAGATACTCAGATAAATTCCCCTTTTAGTGATTCAGTTTAGTAACTGCCTATCCTCATCAATGCCTGTTTGTGATGATAAAATGTTTGACAACCGGGACTTTACAAAAATAGCTCCTAAAAAAAAATTTAATATTTTATTGCAATGTATGTTCATCTATTTTTTTTTAACTTTTATGGGATAATGTTGTGATAGGTGCTTTAAGAAAAATATTTTTCCAGAAATGATTTATAGTAAAAACTAAGGGCAGTTTTTACATTGTGGTGTGTGGGTGGATGGTCATATTTAGTTTAAGATATCATGAAGTGTTCCCTAACAAAAAACTTGCAAAACTATTTGGCAGGAAGAAAATAATCAACTTCTAGTTTATTTATTTTTCTCATGCTATATGCTTAACTACCAAGTAAATTCACTTGAATACCATTACCTTAATTCAAAGGAGAAGCCAGAAAGAATGTTTATCACTGGTGGGAGTAAAATATACACAGATTCTTTACCATGGTGAAATAGAGTAATACTGAATTCCCAATTCAGAAATATTAATTTCATAAGCTAATATTTCTGTCTTTTAGCTGACTTATTTCTCCAGGATATATTGACTATTTACCTTTGAATTTTTGCTTTGGGGGATTTTTACCTATTGCTGTCCCACTGCATTAAGTATCCTGTACAATGAAATGTCTTAGCAAGGAAACACTTTTAAAACTTCACTTCAGCAGAGTTTTAAACAAAAAAAAAAAAAAAAGAAACTTCACAAATAACTGGTTTTCATTCTTAACATGGGGGAAGCAGTTTAAAGAAATGGCACTTCATCGTGTAGAAGGGAAAGGGATAATCTTAAGATAATTTCAATTCATGATCAACATTTAATCCTCTGCAAACAAGGGAACACTTACTAGCAGTACTTGAAGACTTGTGAGTTGGAATTGCATGTTACTTGAAAGATCTAATTAAGCTAAATTTTGGTGCACAGTAGTTGTACATGATTTCATGTTTATGTAGCAAAATTCATTGAAATGTATTAGTATTGAAACATACATGTAAAGGTAGTTGTGGAAATTGTTATATTTTCCTTGTGTGTCTCATTTGTTTAGAGCATAAAGGTTTTTTTAAATTGTTCTAACTGAATAAGGCTAAATGAATACTGTAATTGAAAATATATTTTAAATCTTTGTCATGAGTTTTTAAAAAAAAAAACTATTGCAAATTGTATCATTCCTGATTATACAGAACTTTGTGGGTGGTTTTAAATAAATTTTATACTTCTATTTTGCACCTGATTGTGTAATTTTTCTTTTCTCCTAAAAATCACATTTAAAAGTTTTAATATTCAATAAAATTCACACATTTTAACTACAAAGGACTATAATATTTGGAGATAACTATAAATATATGCATGGGTTCACCATAAAACCAAAATGGCTAGCATTTATGAAAACCTTATTATGTTTCAGAAACTTTACATTTTATTTATTTATTTATTTTTTTTTTGAGACAGAGTTTCACTGTTATCACCCAGACTGGAGTGCAATGGCACGATCTCGGCTCACCACAACCTCCGCCTCCTGGGTTCAAGCAATTCTCCTGCCTCAGCCTCCCGAGTAGCTGGGACTACAGGTGCACACCACCATGCCCAGCTAATTTTTGTATTTTTAGGGACGGGGTTTCACTTTGTTGACCAGGATGGTCTCGATCTCTTGACCTCGTGATCCACCCTCCTCGGCCTCCCAAAGTGCTGGGATTATAGGCGTGAGCCACCACACCTGGCCTTATTTATTTTTTTTTTTAATGGAGATGGAGTCTCTGTCACTCAGGCTGGAGTGCACTGGCATGATCTTGGCTCACTGCAACCTCTGCCTCACAGGTTCAAGTGATTCTCCTGCCTTAGCCTCCCAAGTAGCTGGGACTATGCAGGCGCACACTGCTACCCCGGCTAATTTTTTTGTGTTTTAGTAGAGACAGGGTTTCACCATGTTGCCCAGGCTGGTCTTGAACTCCCAAGTTCAGGCAATCCGCCCTCCTTGGCCTCCCAAAGTGCTAGTATTAGAGGTGTGAGCCACCCTGCCTGGCCGAAACCTTACATTTTATGTAAATTATTTAATTCCCATGGCAATTCTATTAAGGACGCTTATCAATCTCATTACATAGATCAATTCTGAAGCTTGAGGTTATGAAGTTCACAGCCCTAGCAATTGGCAGAGCTGTTACTCTACTCAGGTCCTTACTTGGCTTTATCATTACTTCAATAAACTTAATACTTGTTCTTAAGTCTGCTAAATTTAATTCTGAATGCAGTTTTCCAGTAGTATTTTACTTATTTTAATTTTTTATTTAATTAAATTTATTTAATTTTACTTTTTAATTTTTTTTTGAGATGGAGTCTCTCAAATGGAAACTTCGTCGACAGAATTTCAGAAATATTTCTCTGTAATTCTCATGTTCTCAAAATGGCTGTAGCAACTCAAAGAATCATGGCCTTCCCCAACATCTAAAAGTACTGAAGAACAGTTCCTCCTCCTCCAGTCTCTAATCAGGGACAAAACTCAGAGCCCAGGAATATATTTCTCCCTCTGCCTCACTGACCAAGATGTTGTCATATGCTCATGTCTAAACAAATCACCAGCAAGGAAAATTAATTCCCATAATTGGCTTACACTAATCAGTATTTTTTTTTTGAGATGGAAGTCCTCCTCCCGGCCTTATACTAATCAGTGTTTACCTCTGAAAGCTAGAGAGTCCTGCTTCTCCTGAGATCAAATCAGAATAAAACGTGGAGCTTGGCATGGTTGAGAGTCTCTGTAGTCCCAGATACTCAGGAGGCTGAAGCGGGGGGAGTGCCTGAGCCCTGGAGTTAGAGGCTGTAGTGAGCTATGATTGCACCACTGCACTCCAGCCTCAGTAACAGAGTGAGACCTTGTCTCTAAAAACTTAAATAAATAAGTACGTCTAATTAAATCTAAAAATTATATAGATAAAACGTGGGCTGGCCAGCCTAGGTGGCTCTCATCTGTAATCTCAGCACTTTGGGAGGCTGAAGTGGGTGGATCACGAGGTCAGGAGTTTGAGACCAGTCTGACCAACATGGTAAAACCCCATCTGGACTAAAAATTAAAAAAAACTTAGCCAGGCACGGTGGCACACACCTGTAGTCCCAGCTACTTAGGAGGCTAAGGCAGGAAAATCACTTGAAACTGGGATGCGGAGGTTGCAGTGAGTTGAGATTGCACCACTGCACTCCAGCCTGGGCGTTGGAGTAAGACTCCATCTCAAAATAAATAAATAAATAAAATGGAATCTGACTGTCTCCTGAAGACACCATTGTACCTGTAGCCTTACAAATGAGGATGCTTCTCTCTTACGCTGCCCCAGTCTCTGGATGAGGGTGATGGGGGAATGTTCTCCTTGTTGCCAACTGTTCCCTCATTTAGATTGAGAGCAACTAGCACTACCACATCTGCCTTCCTCTGTCACCTGCCTAAGCACTCCTCATTCATTAATGACTTTGCCTTTGGCACATGTTATTTCTCCCTGCCCTATTTATTGGTAACGTTCTGGGTAGTTTCATTATCAAGCGGATACTTCATCTAACACCCTCCCATCTTAGTTGCTTGATGTTTTCTGGTCACCTTCTCCCCTACTTCACTGGAGACTTCTACTCCCACAGTCACAAGATAATGTATGTTACCATTTTCCAAAATCATTAGTTCAAACATCTTACATGATGGCCTCAACCTCCTGCCTCTCCTGTTTGCTTCTCAGCTCTTTCCACCAGGATGATTTTTCTACCTATCACTTCCATTGACTTCTCTCCTTTCTTCCTTTCTAGCTAACTTATTTCCTCATGTTAATCTTTTTTTTGTCTTGACAGTCCACATTCTCTTTCTAATCAGCCCTCTCTGCTATTTAAGGAAAAATATTTGGTCAAAGATCAATGACAATCCCTCCTCCTTGCCAGGTGCCAAATTAATTCCTAGGTTATGTTATTTATTTATTTATTTATTTATTTATTATTTTTTTGGTTTTTTAAAATGTTTATTGTATGTACAAAGAACTATCATGGTTTTTCATGTTAGATGTCTTGGATAATCCTTTGAAGTTCATTTAGTCCAACTTAATGAAACCTATATCCTTCGCATACTGACGGAAACACTGGCAGCTCATATTGAGACCATATTTCCGGATCAAACTGTGCCGGTTTGAACAGACTCGACAAGAGCGAGAACCCTGGCCGCATTTTCGCAAGTGGCTCCAGTACAGCTGCTGGTGCTCCAGTACAGTCCATCCTGCTCTCAGAAAGGCAACGAGGTAAAAGCTCCTAGGTTATTTTATAAGCTGTGAATGAAAAGTTCAGCACTTCAAGAGACAGACATTATTTAGAAACACTTTTCAATAAAGGCCTTTTATTTCCTTTTTTTTTTTTTTTTTTGAGATGGCACGATCTTGGCTCACCGCAACCTCTGCCTCCTGGGTTCAAGCAATTCTCCTGCCTCAGCCTCCTGAGTAGCTGGGATTACAGGCATGCGCCACCGTGCCCAGCTAATTTTTTGTATTTTTAGTAGAGACGGGGTTTCACCATGTTGACCAAGATGGTCTTGATCTCTTGACCTCGTGATCCATCCGCCTCGGCCTCCCAAAGTGCTGGGATTACAGGCGTGCACCACCGAGCCCAGCCTTGGAAGAAAGATTTTAATAGATTACTCTGTGCCACAAAGCATATTATCATGTAATACAAAATAGTGAACTTGCCAAAAATTTCATGACATAGTATATAATATAAAGTCTGAGTAGGTACAATAGCAGTGGAGGTGACTAAAGTCACAGAATATCAGTAGTTCGCTAATTTGTCCATGCCAAATGGACTGTGGGGAAGGTGATTGGAACAACAACAACGAAAAAAGTTGCTAAAGTGAGAGTGACCAGGCTTGTTCTGGATCCTTACACCCAACCTGGAGTGCAGTGGCACAGTCTCGGCTCACTGCAACCTCTGCCTCCCAGGTTCAAGTGATTCTCCTGCCTCAGCCTCCAGAGTAGCTGGGATTACAGGTGCCTGCCACCATGCCCAGCTAATTTTTTGTATTTTTGTAGAGACGGGGTTTCACCAGGTTGGCCAGGCTGGTCTTGAACTGATCTCAGGTGATCCACTCCCCTTGGCCTTCCAAAGTGCTGGGATTACAGGCATGAGCCACTGTGCCTGGCCTTGAAGTATTACGATAGGCAAAAAACCTACTTTGCTCACAATGCCCTTCAGCAGTGCACAGTTGGGGACAGTGTGCTTCTCAAAGCTTTACCTGTTCCACGAACAAAGCATGTGAAACATGAACTGGCTGAGATTGTTTTCAATGTTGGAAAAGTCACAGATCCAGTGATAAGAAAATGCTGTCTGGGAACTACCTACCTGTCCATTGAGTTTGAAAATCACCTAGCTAAGGAAAAATCTGGAACTCAGTATCTCTTCAGCATGGTGAAGATGATTGGAAGAATTAGCCAAAGGGAAAGATTTACGTGTTTGTATTATGGAAAAAGAAATTTTTTTTTGAGTCAGAGTCTCACACTGTTGACCAGGCTGGAGTGCAGTGGCGTGATCTCGGCTCACTGCAACCCCAGCCTCCTGGGTTCAAGTGATTCTCATCCCTCAGCCTCCCAAGTAGCTGGGATTACAGGCATGCACCACCAAACCCAGCTGATTTTTAAATATTTTTTTGTAGAGACAGGGTTTCACCATGTTGGCCAGGTTGGTCTCAAAGTCCTG